TCACACACACACACACACACACACTCACTCACACCCACACACTCACTCACACCCACACACACACTCACACACACACACTCACACACACACACACACACACACACACACACACACACACACACACTCAGTCATACAGTCATTCACGTTGTTACATGAAGCCAAGGACAAAAAACGTATATTACTAGTTCAAGCTTCAATCCAAAATATCTCCACTTCTATTGAAGATGGATATGCAATGTGTTCATTGACAGCAAGACAAATTCCCATGGACTCTCCAGCTTTGGAATCTACCAAGCTTTTGCTGCCATTTTCTCGCTAATTTTACCTCCTAAATCAGATGACCCCCACCTGCTTCAATCCAAAATATCTCCGCTTCTATTGAAGATGGATGGGTAATGTGTTCATTGACAGCAAGACAAATGAACAAGATACCAATAACTCAATATGCACAAAAATTGACGAGAGCCTGATTCCACCACTCTGCCTCACATATTACTAGTACGAGCGCATAATGATAATCAAGCTGGATTTGGTAAGGCTGACACCATCTAGAGCGAGGGTAAGTTATGAAGAGGCTTTTCCCCCCGATTTGAAAAAAAAAATGGTTCTGTTGCTCACTGTCAATTCTTCGCTTTTTAGGACAAGCGAGCCAACCCAGATTTCGGGGGTTTCCAGAAATCTTGACCTACTCCAAAAGTGGGCATTGCCCTACCTATAGGAAAATTTTGGTTTCATTGTTGTGTATATTTATTTGGTTATAGAGAAAACTCTCCTTGCCCTTTAAAGAAACTGAAGGGGCAAAAACTATACCTTCGATTTTCTCAAAAGAGCTTTTTCTGGGATAGCCCCTTTGTGCTTAAAAGCAAACCAATAAAATTATTATCGTGTCATGCCTTACGAATTTAATTTTTAAGTGCTTAATAAAACGCTACCACAACCGAGCAGTGAAATTCTGAAACTAAATTCCATCATCAATCATCAATGCCTTTCACCCCTGGCAGGGTATAGGCCACATACAAGCTCCTTCCATTTATCTCTGTCCTGAGCCATCCTTCCAAGTTCGTTCCAAGTGAGCTTCGAAGCTAAATTTACCTGGCAATTTTTACAATTTAGTTTAGACAGATCGGTTGACTAATTTCTACATCTTTCTGGTGTTAATGAACTATACAATCACGAACAGTATGTGAAAATCGATCTATGCATTTAAAGTAAAATGTTTTGGGTTTTAGTTTTGCTTGATAAAAACATTTTAAGCTCTGAATTCAAAAGCTGCTGCGTTATCAGTGGGTTAGCTTCCTCAGTTCCATCATGTCATAATTTTTCATCGTTTTTAAAAATTTATTCTAATTTTTGTTTTTTTTGTTTTTTGTTTTGGGGGGGGGGATTAAGAATGTAAGAAAGCGGTTATGGCCCAATTCCTTCTTCTTTGTGTAATAAAACGATCACAATTAATTTATTCTGTTGCATCCGTCCAAGGTCCCCTCAACTCTCTTTCTCTGGTTTGTTTGAATGTTTCGATTTACTGTCCCCAGCTTCATACAGACTGTGGAAGGACCAGTTTAACTGGACAATGAACTATCGCGTGGACGCGGACATTTTCACACCCTACACGAATTTCGCATGGACCCACACAGCGCAGCCCACAAGTGACGACCAATATTGTAAGCGCACTTTCATGCAGACTCTCTCTCTCTCTCTCTCTCTCTCTCTCTCTCT